GCGATGGGATCTTGCTCTTGCTCAGGCTGGTCTCTAACTCATGAGCTTCAGCAGTCCACCTGCCTCAGCCTCCCAGAGTGCTAGGATTACAGGCATGAGCCACAGCGCCTGGCCTGTTGTAGGGTTTCTTAACCTTGTGCTACTGACTTTCTGGGCCAGATCATGCTTTGTTGCTGGATGCTGTCCTTTATATTGTAGGATGTAGCCACCACGCCTGGTTTCCACCAACAGATATCAGTAGTACCTCTTTCTCTCGTTGTGACAACCAAAAATGTCTCCAGACCGTGTCAAATGTCCTTGGGGAACAAATTTGTACTTGGTTCAAAACTATTGCACTGCCCAATTCTGTCAATTTCTATGCCAATATCACACAGACAAATTCTCGTATCCTTTCTGTTTTTTTAGACAAAGGGCCCTGCTATGTTGCCCAAGTTGCAGTGCAGTGATCATAGCACAATAGAGCCTGGAACTCCTAGAATTCCACTACAGCCTGGATCCTCCTGCCCCAGCCTCTTAAGTAGGTGGAACTGGCCTCCTAAGCATGCTCCACCTTGCCAGCTTTAATTGTTATATATTTTAAAATATATCTTATCAGCCATGAGCAAGGTGAGTGGATTGCTCGAATTCACGAGTTCAAGACCAGCCTGATCAAAAAGTGAGACCCTGTCTCTACTAAAAATAGAAAAACTAAGGCAAGAGGATCACTTGAGCCTTAGTTGAAGGTTGCTGTGAGCTATGACACCATGGCATTCTACTCAGGGAGACAACTTGAGACTCTGTCTCAAAAAAATAAATAAATAAAATAAAAAATGTCTTATCAGGCTTGGCGCTCATAGCACAGTGGTTATGGTGCCAGCCACATACACCCAGGGTGGCGGGTTTGAACCTGGCCAGGCCACATAAACAACAATGACAACTGCACCAAAAAAATAGCCGGGTGTTGTGGCAGGGGCCTGTAGTCCCAGCTACTGGGGAGGCTGAGGCAAGAGAACTGCTTAAACCCAAGAGTTTGAGGTTGCTGTGAGCTGTGACACCACTGCATTCTACCAAGGGCAGCGTAATGAGACTTTATCTCAAAAAAAAAAAAAAAAAATCTTATCACCCAACAGGGCAAGTTCCTCCTCTTTCTTTTCTTTTCTTTTCTTTTCTTTTTTTTTTTTTTTGAGACAGAGTCTTACTTTGGCACCCATGGTGTCACAGCTCACAGCAACCTCCAACTCTTGGGCTCAAGTGATTCTCTTGCTTCAGCCTCCCAAGTAGCTGGGACTACAGGCGCCTGCTACAATGCCTGGCTATTTTTAGAGACGAGGTCTCACTCTGGCTTAGGCTGGTCTCAAATCTGTCGCTCAGGCAATCTACCTCCCAGAGTGCTAGGATTATAGGCATGAGCCACCACACCTGTCCTGTTCCTGTTTTTTTTTTGAGACAGATTCTCATGCTGTTGCCCAGGTTTGAGCACTGTGGTATCATAGCTCCCAGCAACCTCAAACTCCTGGGCTCAAACAATCTTCTTGGCTCAGTCTCCTAAGTAGTTGGTACTGTAATCACCACAACACCTGGCTAATTTTTCAATTTTTAGTAGAGACAGGTCTCACTCTTGCTCGAACTACTGAATTCAAGCAATCCTCCCATCTTGGCCTCCCAGAGACCTAGGATTACAAGCATGAGCCACCAGGCCTGGCCTTCCCCCTCTTCTTTTTTTCCAAAATTGTTTTGCTCAGTCTTGTACCTGTATGCTTCCAGATTAATTTGAGAATTAATTTTACAAATTCCAGGACACATTTTGTTTGGGATTTTTAGTTTAGTTTAGTTTCTGGGTTTTTTTTTTTTGAGACAGAGTCTCACTATATTGCCCTTGGTAGAGTGCTGTGGCATCATAGCTCACAGCAACCTCAAACTCTTGGGCTCAAGCAATTCTCTCGCCTCATCCTCCCTTGTAGCTGAGACGACAGGTGCCTGCCACAACGCCTGGCTTTTTGTTTGTTTGCTTGTTTGTTTAGCAGGCTCTGGCCAGGTTCAAACCCCCAGCCTTGCTGTATGTGGCTG